ACTGACTGGAGCACGCAGGCATTTGCACAGTCCAAGTAATTATTTCAAATAGGCCTCTGCTTGTCCAATATCCCACCTTCCAACTCTCTCAAAATAATTTTCAAACTTCATCACCAGACACAATATGGATTTCTCACACTCAGTCGTGCTCCTGATGACTTCAAGTCTTCCGTGTTAACCTGTGTCACAATCACCTTTGTGTCATAGGTGCTTATAATTTATTTCATCTGGAATTTATCATCTCACAGCTCGACAATGATTTATTTTTATGAGTTACAAAGCAGCAGCCAAGAGGCTCCTATAGCAAGCACAGAAGTGGATCCAGGTTCCTGTTGCACTCAAAAGGACACTCTGAAAAGCCTAACTCTTAAAAGTAATTCTTTGGAAGCTGCTTTTCCTCTGTTATTTACTCCACATTTCAGAGAGCCACAGAATTTGCAAAGTGCAATGATAAACACTGCAGCCCTGATTAAAAACAAGTGCATCCCATGTACCATAGACCAACGTCCAGTTAGTAGCAAGAATCCATTTCTGTTGATTAATGAGAAAATAAGTAGGAGTATAAACCAAAGGAGAAGCCAGATCTTCTCCAGAAAGACTCCTGTCACCTTCTTAACACTCCTTATGTTCAGAGATTTCTCTTGCCATGGTACTGGGAAGGCAGGAAGAAGGTAGAATTTAATCTGGCTACTGCCATAAAAGACAATAATAAAGGTTTCTGTAAATACATTAGCAAAAAAAAGGAAGGGTAAAGAGAATCTCCATCCTCTGTTGGATGCAGAGGAAAACAGTGACAAAGTACAAGGAAAAGTCTGAGGTACTTAACACTTTCCTTGCCTCAATCTTTAAAAGAAAGACCAGTTGTTTTCCAGACAACCCAGGCCCCTGAACTGGAAGGCTGGGATGGGGAGCAGAATGAAGTCCCCACAATCCAAGGGGAAGTGTTTAGCAACCTGCTCCACCACTCAGACACACACAAGTCTATGGGCCAAGCTGATCTGCTGGAGGTTGGAAGGCTCTACAGAGGGATCTGGACAGGCTAGATCAGTTAATCACAGTCATGGGAGCTGAACCAAGTCCCTACACCTGAAGTCTCTGTAGGCCTGAGATGACTTACCTCTCTTCTTCTATGTAATCATACTGTGTTCTGCTCAAAAAATGTTTAATGCTGATGAATACTCTGCAGAAAAGGGAGGAACAGACAGCACTGGGCTCACAGGGTCAAAGTTCACAAGTTGCTTCTTATCTGTAATCATTCTCTTTTTTTTATTTCCTGGCAAGAGTTTTAAATAACTCTAAGCAAGCATTTTATAAAGATCACGCTGTCTGAGGCTTTAATGAAAAATATGAAGACTTAAACAGTAAATCTACAAGCATGACAAGAAGAGGAAAGAGGCAGATAAAACATGTTGGCTCAGCATGATCTGAAACCAATTAGAGAAAGACAGACTGCCAATGCTCCTTGAATTAAATTCTCAAAACTTGTTATCTTCTTGTGTGCTCTCCTGATCAATAAATTAAAGCAATTCCATTAGTCTGTTAATTCACTTAATTAAACAATATCGAGCATTACTAACCATAATGAATGAGCTGTAATACAGCTCTGAATCCAAGGGCATGAGATAGCCCTTTGTCTGACTACATTTTTCACACTGCAGTTGTTTTATTAGACATTTCAAACTCTAAAATAGGTATGGAAACTCAGATACAAACAGCTATTTATTTAAACTCTTCCCTGGTTAAAAAAAAAAAAAAAAAAAAAGTTGTTTAAAGAAGCAAAACCTTTCTTACTGGTGTGATGTATTTTTATTTCTTCAGTGTACTCTAAAACGATCCTGCTGTTTGCACTGCACTCTCATACTCTTAAAAGGCTCTAAATTCCACAAATGGCCAAAAGTGGACTGTGCCAGAATGTGATCAGTCACAGAGAGTTTGTACTGGTGTCTAAGATGCATCATTTACACACACATTTATTCACACTTTGCTTGGTGAAGATTCCATAGAATTCATAAAACAACCAAAGTTCTCTCTGCTTTTTTAGTGAAACTGCCACAAAAGGCTCAGTTCTTGTTAACAAATGTATGTTTATTAACATGTGGAATGAAATTCCCTCCAGGATTACCAAAATCTTTCAAACTGACTGACCTGTTATTTCTACGTTTAAAATGTCACATTTCAGTATTTTTGTGGCAAAAATATTCAGCATTTTCAGCATCATATTCTGTTTCATATAAAGACTTCATTACACAGATGTCAAAACCCACCCAAAGTCCGAGTCAAATGTACAGAAAACAATCCTCTTAGAGGCTACATAAACTGGTAGGAGGTACCTGACATTCCATACATAAGCAGATTATTAACAGACTATTAAATAAATAAAAGACATTAGATAGATAAATAGATAATGCCCCTCAAAATACTTTTATACTGAGTAAGATCTAATTAATACTTTACAGGGTTCTTTGATGATGCTGAACCACTTTCTTCCATTTTATACATGCAAGCAAAAAGTTCCTTGGTTAGAATTTTTATGTCTTTTATTCTACTATTATTTCATTTATTTACTTTAATAATTTAAAATTAACTTTAGCTCAGTCCTTTATAATGTCATTTTACTCTATGAAAATTATAGAGCTCAGAGATATAGAAATAAAAGGTAATGAAATTTCTCATCTCTTAAATGATAACAGCCATAACACTCACATCTGAAGAAGAGGATAATGTGGTTAGAAGTATTAAAATTTTAGAACAAATGCGAAGAAAAACAGCTAATGACTTTTAAAGAGAGCTGATTTTCAAGGCATGTGAACATGCAAAAATCAAGAGTATTAGAGCTGATACAGCAAAGACAAGGTCTCCTTTCACACTGCAGTCACTGTGAACACAATGTCTTTTTGTTGGAGCAAGTCCACATTGAAGACAATTTGAATTCCTAAGGGAGTTTTAAAGTATAATGATTTAAGTTAAGGCTTTAGAAAAGAGCCAAGTTGAAATTCATTAAAATATTTAATTGCGTTCAAACCTGGCTGAGTGAGCCATGACCAAAGGTCATTAGAAACAGAAGGATGGTCAATAGCATACGTTGAAATTCTCTTCCAAGGCGATTTCCTAATTAGATGTCAACATAAAAAGACACCATTACAGCCAACACCACTGTTGGCAAGTTCAACAGCCAGGGCAGAGACTAAATAAACATGGAAAATGTAACAGCTCCAAGAACTAGGGTGAGTCTTTTTTACACAGGCTTTATGGAGAGTGTTATGCCACACTAATTTATTCTAAGAGGTCATTGACAAATTCAGTTCTCACTCCTATTAGGAGAACTGAATTAAAGTATGGGAGAAGATGACAATTTAACTGCACTCTTTGCAGTGCTGGAGTTTTTCCTGAATGATACTTTGCATTCTTTCATAATTTTCAGTTATTGTTTGTTTTCATTTTCAAATGGGAAGCCTGACGTGAATTATACAGCTGTTTGGAAATACTGGAACTCTAGCAAAGAAAACTACCTCATTTTAGTTCTCTCATGTAAAACATACTGAGAAGATCTTAGAAGGGTGCATCTAGGATTATGAAAATATGTATGGAAAATGTGATAGGCTACCAATGAAAAATATCATAATTAGGAAAATTTACCACAAAGAATACAAGAGACACTGGCCACCTCTCTTACAGCTGTCAAATTTAATACATATACAACATATAAGCTGCTGCAAGGCAGTGTTTATTTAGCCTGTACTGCATCTCTAAAAATTGTCAGCAGTGGATCTTTCAAACACAGTATTGAAATCCACACAACGTTGGTTTAGCAGGAAATACTTTTCCTACTCTGATTTGGAGCCAAATTTTCATTCTCTTGCCCTCACTAAACTGAACTTGTTCAACGTGGTCCCCTTTAAGTCAGTGGGTCCTCTTGTGGCATGAGGCATTATTAGAGATAGCACTGATTATTCACCTCTGCCCTGAAATATTAGGAAGTCAACAGAAATCTGTACTTTTACCAGTTTGTCAGACATTACTGAAGGTGTTGGGGGTAAAAAAAAAGGAAAAGGAAAACGAAAACAGGACAATTCCTTACTCTTCCCAGCAAAGACACACACCAGGTGGAATGGAATAAGCAGCCAGAGAAGAAACTCATCTCTGTGTTCAGATGCATGATGCTGGCAAGATGAAAATCAGTGTTCAAAAAAGGAAGGAAGCCTGCTCACATGGGACACGACCACTGGTAAGTTTTATATGGAATAGAAGACAGAAGACATCCCTTCTGTATAAAGGGAGCCAGGTGGACAAAATATGACCCAAAACATCACTGTTGTGATATGTAGTTGTGAAACACGTTATTCCTTTGAGCGAAAAAATAAAGTGACTTTTACTAAATATTTTCTACTGCACAAATTTTAAAGTTTTGCCAACTTTAGGACTTTCTAGTCTTCTGTCTGCAGTATACAAATACATATCTGGAGCTGGGGAGTTGTCAGACGAGCTTCTCACCCGTCATCTCTCTCTCCTTTCAGCTGATCTCTGGCACAAAGTGACAGTCTCTGTCACAGAGACAGACCCTTACATACCCAGTTCTTTCCCTCTGTAAATATCCACATAAAATTCCCACCTTTAAGATTCTCTACAAATAAATTATTCCCTAGCTCTGCCACAAACATCAAGAAGGTTTTGTGCATCGAAAGGAAATAGGAAATAAGAAATAAAACAAAGAAATAAAACAAAGTTAAAATACAACTGTATGGATAACTACAGTTGGGGATATGTATCCATATAGTATGGATACTTCCCCAGATCAAGTATGTTGAGTTACATGCAGAAGACTTTTTTGTTTTTTGGTCCATTCCACAAATTTCATCCGGAATCTACATTTGCCCCAAGTGCCAAAGTGTTACGTGCATGAGACCTGCAATCCTCGAGCACAAAAGGAATTTTCAGTGCAGGAAGAACCATCAGCAGACCTGTGGCTAAAGGGAGCCTGAGTTAAGCCAGCCTTTACTCACCACAGTCAAATGGTGCAGTAAATACGCCACATCAACCATGTCGGCCAGAACGAGCAGCCTTGTGACAGCCGCGAGCAGGGAGCGCGCTGCCGGGACAACGGCCTGCCTGCGGGGCAGGGAGCAGGGATCGCTGGTGAACGCCTCTGCCGACACCTTCAGGGCTTGACCTGCAAAAGGAACACATGCACATAGGCTGCATTGCAACACTCAGGGGGAAAGAAATCGTTAAAGCTCCATCAGGTACCTGGCAAGTCACTTAGCATCTCCTTGTTGCCCTAAGGCCTTGAAATGAAGGCCAATTATTACAGATCATGCAGGATGTTCCACATTTTGAATGGTGTTCCCTTTTTGTTCTACTGAATCATTTAATTCTGAAATAATTCCCTTGGCCTTCACACTACTACTCTTAACCATATACAACAAAGCCAGGGGCAATATGTTAAACTTCTCTAGTCACTGCTTGTTATATTACTGTGTACTTTGGTGTCTGTACTTTGGTGTCCTTGCTATTAAATAATTCCTGGTCACAGAAGGGAATTAAATATTGTTCTCCTCATTACAAATATAAGTTAATGGAATGAAAACTTCATAGACTCAAACATCTGACTGACATGAAATACATGAAATCGATGCCATGCAGCTACTGACTGTGCCAGTGGACAGCAATATACTGCTCCCCAACGGGAAGTTTTAATTAAATTTAACTAAATTTAACAATAACAACAGTGACAAACACCCAAGTTTAATAAATACATTCACACCTTGTTCAGTCATGCATTAGCCTCAACTATCATTAGCCAGTATACATTAGCCAATAACCCACTATTACTGACTCAGAATAACCAGCCAGGAGTGTCTCTGTGCACAGTAAAAGTGGTCCAAACAAAGCTGACCAGGAAAGCAGAGCTACAGATTGGAAAGGAATTGCCTAATTAGGAAGGAGTGAAAGTGCTCAGTTGTGAGAAGCCCAGACAGGAGTGAATGGTAAGCCTGTGAGTTAGCAATTGAATGGATCAGGAAAGAAGTGAGATATAGCTCAGCTGAGGACAGGAAACAGTGCTATTGCCAGGAATATTTAATAAAAGTTGGGAACAAAAAACAAAATTCTGACAGCACAGCAGCTCCTCAGAAACCTCTAATGTAATGTTTTCCCCCTCCCACAAACACGAGGCTGAACTGCATGTTCACAGGCCACAGATGTGATTATTTGCCCAGGTCTCTGCTATTGTGCCTTCCAGAAGACAATGGCTGTATGGATTTGCATGTCTCTCAAGCACCTGAGACACTTCAAAACTGCAAATAGTCCCAAAATCTGAAAATAGTACCCTTTCAACATGGATACCCTTAGCCACAAAGATGATTCAGGGACCAGAGCACCTGTCGTACGAGGGAAGGCTGAGAGAGCTGGGACTGTTGAGGCCAGAGAAAACTCAGGGGCATCTCACCAGTCTGCACAAACACCAGAAGGAAGGTGAAAAGAAGATGGAGCCAGACTGTTCTCAGTGGTGCTCAGTGACAGGGCAAGAGGCAACGAGCACAAACTGACACACAGGAGACATTCCATCTAAACATCAGAAAATGATTTGTCACTGTGAGGGTGACTCAGCAGGGGCACAGGCTGACCAGGAAGGTTGTGGAGTCTCCATCCTGGGAGATATTCAAAACCTGACCAGGCATGGTCCTGGGCAGACTGCAGGCCCTGCCTGAGCCAGGGCATTGGACCACCTGACCTCCAGAGCTCCCTTCCACCCTCAACCATCCTGTGATTCTGTGAGCAAAGACAAAACCAGAAGGGTTTGAATATGACCAGCCCCTTAGAAATGAGTTGGACATAAACTAGGATGGCCAGTAGAACAAGTATAAAAATCACAACCCTAAAACAGAGCTATGAGATGTAGGCTGGGCAGATAGGAGCTAGAAGTGCAAACAGCAGAAAATGACAGCTCCAACAACAACATGACAAGAACTTTCTTAAAACACAGTGAACAGCATGACAGTCTGATGCAATTTCATCTATTTTTATGGTAATTCCCATCAAATGAATATTATTCCATAATTACATTTGTCACAAACGACGACACAAAAAATGCCCTTTTAGTGGCACAAATAGGGAATTGGAAAGGTGGCAGTATTTATAATATTTCCACTATTTTAGACAATCAAATGAAAAGCAATTCAAAGAATCAAAGACAGGCTATATCATAACTACACAATTATTGGCAGGCAGATATTTCCAAGACTCTTTTCAGCACACACACATAGATGACTCCCAAAGTAAATGGTGTTCTACCATTAGCTAATCAGCTATTGACAGCTACTGCTGTGCCAAATGACTGCCACTTACACACATGCTCACAAAAATCTCTGCTTAGGCACGAGGAAAGGTAAAATCATGGTTCAGCCACAGGTAGAAAACAGTTGGAGGATTCATGCACTTTATCCATGTCCTGGGTTACACAAAAATTCTAGTATCAGCCTTTCCTTCTCTCTCTTCTCCAAATAGGCCTCTTTGGTTTTTTGGTGTTCTGCCTTCTTTAAAGAGAGTGAACTGCTAATGATTAATGACTCCAACATTCGACCACCTGCAGTGACTGCCCAGGTGTTGCAAGAGACTGGACTGATGGCTCAGTAAGCAGTGTGCTTTGCTAACAATGTGCAGAGTGGCCACCCAGNCCAAATAGGCCTCTTTGGTTTTTTGGTGTTCTGCCTTCTTTAAAGAGAGTGAACTGCTAATGATTAATGACTCCAACATTCGACCACCTGCAGTGACTGCCCAGGTGCTTGTAAGAGACTGGACTCTTGTTGCTAAAGGCTCAATCAGCCCTGTGCTTTGCTAACAATTTGCAGAGTGGCCATCCAGGCCAGGAGCTGAAGCTGCACATCCAAAACCTCAGGCTATAAACTGGGTGTTAAACAAGATAAGGAGAGCAACAAACTTGGACTTGATCATCTCAGAGGTCTTTTCCAACCCCATTGGTTTCATGAAACTCTGCAAGGTGGGGTAGTGCTTCTTTTTCCTTACACAGATGACTCAGCTAACTCCCCAGAACACTCACACCTGGCCTGAAGGGATTCATCTCTTGTTGATAAGTCATAATCAGCCAAAATGGACTCAGCTGCACTGAAATACGAGACAGCTGCAACATCTTAGAAGGGTCAAAGACTCCTGAAGTATCCCTGACTCACAGTATTATATTATCCAGTGTAAAACTCCCCAGCCCAGGGGAGACACTGGAGGTGCTCCCACCTGAACCTGAGCACGCGTAACTCTGAGTTTTCGGGCTTCCCTGCCCACCCAGGGCTTCCACACCACCGTGATGGATCTGGACTGCGAGCGACACTTTGAGTAAAGAACATGGAAATTGCACCAACAAAGTTTCACCACTGGATCCAACAGGTGTCTTGTAGGTCCTTCCAGTCACTTGGGTGTTCCCAGCCCTGTGCCGACTCCTGTCCCAGTTTCTCCTCATCGATTGGTTTAACCCAGTTTTATCAGTATCGTTATCAGCATTCTTCTTGGTGAAGAGTTATTGTTTCACTTACAGCCACATTTGGTGTCTCTCTTCAACCAGGGGCATTGAACCTGAGGGAGGAGACTAATGGCTGAGGTCTCCGCCCCCTCCAAATTATCTCCAGCCAAGACAACCCAGCACCAAAAACGTCCGGAAACTTCCACAGAAATTCCTTTCCAAACAAGTCAACCATAATCCTGTTGGCAGTCAGCTGACAGCTTGTGCCGGGCCGGCAGCCGGTGGCAGGCACTGTGTCCGAACTGAGACTGCAGCCACACGCTCTTGGTTTAGGCAAGATCAACAGAATTATGCTTTCTTATTTCTTTGAATAGATTGTCTTTTTTGTGCTAAATCTAACCATCACATTAGTCTCTCTTCTATTTGTATTTACAACTGGCTTTCTCCTCTCGTTTTTTTTGTTATTATTTTTAGCTGCAGCAGTGTGAAATCCACATGGAATGCAGCGAATTTTATGCCATTCTTGTGTCCTCCCACGAGGAGGTATTGTTGCCAAGAAAGTCCAGTCACCCACTCCTGTGAACTACACCATTAGAGGCTGGTGGATTTACAGTTCCAGAGAAACACAGTTGTCAAAAGGAGCTCATTTACTAAGGGAGGAAGGGACATACCCGAGTCAGTAAAAAGAGTATTTCAAATGTCCCAGTCTCAAACTTGAGAGAAAACAAACAAACAAACAAGAAAAAAACCCACAATGGTTTATAATACAAAATCATAGAATGGTTTGGGTTGGAAGGGACCTTAAAAAGATCATCTAGTTCCAACTGTCCTGACATGGACAGGGACACCTTCCATTAGACCAGGTTGCTCCAAGCCCCACCCAACACGGCCTTGAACACTTCCAGGGATGGGGCAGCCACAGCTTCTCTGGACAGCCTGTGCCAGGGCCTCACCATCTACATAGTGAAGAATGTCTTCCTTACATCCCATCTAAATCATCCTCTTTCAGTTGAAAGCTTTTCTCCCTTGTCAAAAGTCCTTTTCCAGCTCTCTTGTAGGTCCCCTTGTACTCAAAGGCTGCAATAAGGTCTCCCCAGAGCCTTCTCTTCTCCAAGCTGAACAACCCCAGCTCTCTCAGTCTGTCTTAAAAGGAGGTGTTCCATCCCTCTGATCATCTTTATGACCTTCCCTGGACTGGCTCCAACAGGTCCATGTCCTTCTCATGCTGGAGGCCCCAGAGCTGAATACAGTATTCCAGGTGGGGTCTCACCACCTGGTTAACAGAACAGTTAATAGAACACTTACTAACTGTGATAACTCAGATTCCCACAATAGCTTTCTGTACATGTTACAGGACATTTCTCTCCTGCCACAGAGTCTTACCTCACTCAGACATCACTGTATTCTGTTGCATTGCAATTATTTCACTGCTGCATACCAGGAAGTTCCACTTCCACATCTCATACAGTTCTTCCTAATGTGTAATCAGAGCCACCACACCTCCCCATCATGCCTTACATCCACCTCTTCATTCCCCCTTTCCCACTCAGGGACACCTGATCCAGTGATGGTGACGTCAGAAGCTTTTCTACAAGGCATCTGTTCTTGGTTTGATGAAAAGCATGTACAGCACAGGTTATTTTAAGCCATTTGAATATCTAAGTTCTGTCTCTAACAGAATTAAAGTCCCTTAGATGCAGAACACACACATGTACCTCTTAATGTGGGATGAGAAAGTTAAGTTTACTTTTAAGATGAGGGGAGGGACAAATAAGAATATAGTATAATACAAAAGATCACTTTACCCTTCCTTTAGTAAATGTCCTTAAACTCCCCATTTCTTGTCAGTGAATGGTAGTTTCTTCCATGCCATAAAAGTCTTGCCTCCCCTGTTTAATGTCAAAAGACATTAAATATGGACATTCAAAATATCAAAGTATTTTTTATAATTTCCTTTCAAAGAGCTGAAGGCTCAAAATGTAACTCCAGCCAGTAACTTGCTTTCAGTTCACTGCTATGTGTGATGAAAGGCTTATCTAGGAACACACTTGAGTATGGTAATAGCCAAAGGCAAGAAACACTGACATTGCAAGAGAGAGAAACAACACAGACAACAACTGTTGTGTTTCTGACTATATATAGTCAGTAAGCAATGGCATTTCAGCTATGCCCACACAACTGTTTGAAAACCATAAGCAATCACACCTTCACACAAATGCAAAAAAATCATTATCCTAAGTATAATGCTAGACTTTAATTCAGATTTCTCAGACAATATTTCACCACACAAACTATAGAACTGTTTTGTCTTAAAACTGATTAAATCTCAGAATCAGGACATTCATTAGAAGCTGATGTTTAGTGTCAGAAGCATTCATGGTTGAACAATGCTTCTTACCCCCTTTGCATTGTGGTCACTTATTTCACAGTACATTGAATCAGAAGGCAATCTTTTGAAATTCTGTACACATATGAAATCTGCCAGTGAGAATTTTTAAATATACTTATTTGGGGGGTTATTACACTATTTTAGAATGAAAATGTGAGCATGAGTACCCTTTAACAAAGCTTCACCAAATTCATTCAACAGGCAAACGTGGCAGTTCCTCAGTTACTGGCTAGGGGGTTTCTGGGTGATGACAGTCCCCCACCCACACACCTTCCTGCTGACCCACTGAGCTGAGTTCCAGAAGAAGGGGAATCAAGATGGGGATAGAGATAGGCCTGAAAAGTAGTTTCTTGACAGGAAACAAAGAAAAATGCAGAGGACCTCTGTATTAAAATGATCAGCTCAAAGACTGTGGTAAAACTTTGCAGATGTCAAGGAAGCAGACATGAGATTTCTTCAGGTTACGTTCATCTGCCATTCATTAGAGCAACACCTTCTTTCAGAGGTCACTAACAGAATTCAACTAAATTTGAGTTACCAAAATCTCATCTACTGAGTGTCAAGACCAAACTGTAATCAGCGAAGCCATACCCACGTCCAGATTTCTGAAGACCGTGAATCACTCGTGCATCAGATGAATTAAATATGACAAATCTTATCACTGCTGTTCATTTTAATCCTACTAATTTGCTCCTTTATTCTCCAAAATTATGTACAGGATTATCAGAAGCAGCTTGAAAATAGTCCCTTAAAAGGAACTTCTATTAAAGAGCTCCCAAAGTAACAAAGCAGCATTTTCACACTGGTGACTGACATTCCAAAGAAGTAAGGCTTCGCTTCTCATGTTGCATCCTCAACTCACCAAGTTCAGTGAGTCACACAAGCTAAAACTCACGAGGAGGGGAGAGAGGATTTATTCTTTCCAGATGTCGGGGTGTGACTCTGGGTCACGTGGGAGTGACACCATCTACAGCAACGTTTCAGGATGCCATGAGACAGTAAATACGAGCTGGAACCACGTGCAAAAACTCCTAATTTATTTAAAACTGTATTAATAAAGATACACCTGCCAGTCACCACAGAAAAGTATGCCCCTAGAAAATGAAATATGATATGCTACGACATGAATGGCAGGTGACTGCACACAACCACATGCACGCAATAGCTGACGACCCACATCCTTTCAAAGAGCTTGAAGTAAATAACAGGAGACATTTAACAGCAGCAGAACGTGGCTTGAATAACAGGCAATGAAGTTGCATATGATGTGGCACACCACAAATTAAAAATAACACACGGCTTCAAAGGCTACAGGTATCTGCAAAATTAATGAACTGCTATTTTTTTTTTTACACTTGTTCAACAATTTCTTAAAATTGACTTGTGCAGTTTGGCAAATCCTTAGAGAGAGATGGGTTGTGAACACTCAATTTGTCATTGCATAATGACAGGTGATAACACGGATTTTAACATTCTTTTAAAATGTATGAGGTGTATATAATCTATTTTATGTATTATTTATTTTTGTATTTATCTCTGGCCTTGGCTGAGAATCAATAAGTAATATAAAAATATTTCACATTTTCAATTTATCCATGTATAAAAATCAATATAAAGCTATATATTGTATTCTTGCCTTGTGTTATCGGCCTGTAATGGATGGGCTAACATTTTAAGAGTACTCCAAAGTGACTGATTTTTCAAGAGCCTCAGCTGATCAGTGTGACAGATAACAGTGACACATGCTGGTCATAATGCTTTTAATCACAAAGGACCTTAAGGTATCTCGGACACCACATGCATATATCAAACTCTAAACCACAGCCATCTCTGGAGCCAGGAATCACTACCCTGAACAACAGCACAGATTCAGAAACCAGCCCAGCTGCACGGAGAGGAAGACTAAATGAAATAAAATAAATTTTAAAAATAAATTGATTAAATCACATCTTTAGTAAAGAGCAGGGTGATACAACTAAAACATGCATGAACTTGAACTTGTGATTTCTGCAGGAACACATTTAGGATGTTGATTATCTGACTTATTTGAGCCTGGCCTTCATATTCTCCCAAATATTTTGAGCATTCATGGGGAAAGTAAAAATCAATAAAGCCTGAAGGAAAATTCTCAGCAGATCACAAAACCTAGTCCTGTTCCATGAATCTCATTGGAAATGGGGAGATAAGCCACGACAAAATGGAATATGGCAAAACTCACCAAAGAGGAGCTGCTCTATCATGAGGGGATGATTTACAGTAGGCTACAGAATCCATCTTCCTCCTACTGAGGTCCCAAAACATACCTTCCAACAGGACTATTACCCTTTCCCAAAGGAAATCCTTACTACTGCACAAAAGAGGGAAGATTTTCAGGTTTAGATTTTTCACTAAAAGGCCTTAATCCCACATTTGGGTGAACAGCCTCTTTGCAAGAAGAGCATTAAAGCAAATATTAACTTCAACTTGTGCTTAGCAGCCACTAAAATTGCCAAGGGGCATCCTGTATTCATTGAAAAAAAAAATTTCTAACAACATAACTTCCACTGATATAAGTCTCTTTCCACAATGGGGCACAGCTTGCACACTTTACCTCCTTATAAGTGGTATCTGAGAATACACAATTAGACAACACAAAGTTCAGACATTTGCACATCAAAACACATTTCTCCTGGATATCCTACCTTCACTTTGACACCAGTGTTACATGGTTAAACTAATTCCTTGGGGGGCCTACATTGTTTGTCACATACTTACTCTCTTTCCTGACATCAGCAAGAGCTGCATGAAGTTCCTCTTTAAACACAGCTGCTTCTTTGGCAATTTTTTCTCCCTTGTCCAACAGATTCCAAGTGGCTTCTTCCACAGAAGCCAGCAAGACACGAGCTCTTTTGGAACGGCCCTTTTTCTTACTAGAAGGATTCTGTGGACAGTTCACTAGTGTTGTAACCTACAATTAAAGGAAACAAAAAACACAATAATGGTGTAAGTTCTACAATAAGTGAATTTATATTGTTCTCAAATTAAAAAAAAGATATAGTTGAGAATAAGCAAATAGATTCCCACTGCTTTAGAGACAGGCAAGTTCAGCACACATGCTGAGAATGGACAAAACTACTGAATAAAATCTGACAGAGAATTTTACTCAATATGCCTCATTTTTGTGTTCTTTCTGTATGATCAAAGCAAAGTCATTAGAAATCTCATCTATGAAATCTCTCATCTCATCTCATAGAAATCTCTGATGCCGACTCCTGACGCTGCTTATTTTAAAATTTGCTCATAATAATAACAACAAATTACTAGTGCTATCCAAGGAGGGTTCAGCAAGGAATCATTAAGGTTGGAAAAGACCTCCAAAATCAGAGTTCAACCATAAAGCTAACATTGCCAAGTCCACCACCAAACCATGTTCCTAAGCACCACATTCACATGTTTTTTGAACACTTCAAGGGATGGTGACCCCACCACTTCCCTTGGCAGCCTGTTCCAATGCTTGACACTCCTGTCAGGGGCAGAATTTTTCTTAATATACAATCTAAACCTCCCTTGGTGCAACTTGAGGCCATTTCCTCTTCTTCAGTCACTTGTTATCTGGGAGAAGAGACCAACCCCCACCTGGCCACAACCTCCTTTCAGGGAATTGAGAGCAATAAGGTCCCCCCAAGCCTCCTTTCCACCCACAGCTGCTCCTCCTCAGACTTGTGCTCCAGACCCTTCCCCATATCCATTGCCCTTCTCTGGACACTCTCCAGCACCTCAATGTCTTTCTTGTCATGAGGGACCTAAAACTGAACACAGTATTCGAGGTGTGACCTCACCAGTGCACAATCACTGCCCTAGTCCTGTGGCCACACTATTTCTGATCCAGGCCAGGATCCCACTGGCCTTCTGGCCACCTGGGCACATGCTGGCTTATGTTCAGCTGCTGTCCAACAGCACCCCCAGGTCCTTTTCCCCCTAAAGTGCTGAATCTTCCATATTTCCAACTTAAGACTCCCAAGGTATCTCAGAAACAAATACTCAAAATGAGTACAGACACCTTTCCAAACGCCTTCTCTTCTTACAAGGGAGTATCACAGTGGCCAGAACCCAGCACCTCTGAAGTCTTTGGTATACTCTCAACATTAAAACTGTACATCATTTTGCCCAGAATGTAGTTATACTGCAGCTTTGTCCAAATTATATTTTTTAACAACGCATTTCAACATCCATAAAGAACTTATTTTCATAGAGCATCCCACTCAACATTCCTCATCATCTGAGCACAGCCTTCACACTCCAACAGAACGTTTCTGAACGACTGTGCTCTAAAGGCATTGCTTGAGCTGTCACACTATGGAAAGACTCCGAAAGGATTTTTTCATTAAGTTCACTGATGTTTTTTAATCCTCTGTTCTGTTCTCTGTGCTGAAGCATGGATAGTGTAATATTAAGTACAGATCTAACCCTGCAGCTTCGTTTTATTAATGGCATTCCAACCACCAGCAGTATTGGATAGGCAAAGCAAGAGAACTGACTCTGAATTTCTCAGGCCAGCAGGCAAACTCAGCTAAGTGCTGCAGTGGAGTTGTAGTTTGAGCTGGTCTGTGAAGGAGGGCTCCACACACAGGCACAAAATGAGAAGTGTGCTCTCTGTGCCTCAGCTCACCTTTAGATCTTGTCCATGAATTCACACACTCGAGTGCTTTTCATGAATCAGTACTTTTAAAAGTCACTGACAAACATCCTCTGGGAACATTTCTATAAACACATCTTTGAAAGATAAAAGCCCTGCCCCCTATATCATTCATGTGAAATTTGGGGAGAAAAAGGACCGTCCACTTGACATAGACTGCTTTGGCAGGTCCCAAGGGAGACAGCAACATTAATAACTCTGGCTCAGATTGTTAGAGAGGGCTCATGTATTTTTCTGACTGTGGCTCAAAGGAAGAAAATGAAATTATTTATTGCACATAAATCAGCCAGCTGGTAAGAGAATGCACTGGGAATAAGAATCATTCTACCTTTTATTTTTACAAACCCTCTAACATCAGTTCTAAAGCCTTTAATGCAGTTTCAATGATCATATTTTTAAGAATGAGTTAAAGAGATTATAGGCTGATACTTCCAACAAGAAAGGCATCAAACACCATCAAAAATTGCAAGCTGCCCCAAAAATCTATCATGTAAAAGATACTTTTTATGTGTCTTAGGTATTTAATCACATTTCCCAGAAAATAATATATTCTATTTCTCAGATTTTTACTGTAGTCTTTTTTATGTAAAATGTCATTCTATGCACTGTTCATTCATATGTTGAGGAGGAAAGGAAATAAAACAAATGGAAAATCATGGAAAAAATAATCATTCCTGCAGGTGAAAACTCTTGACTACGAGACCCTTCCTCTTCAGCATCACGGTCAGGAAATATCAGAGGCAGCTTCTGATTTGATAGACAGTTCTTTGTTCATGGAGATTACAGAAAACAGAAAAACTACTCTGCATTCTCTAACACAGAATCCCAATGAGGAATGCAAAAACTTTATGCAGATCCTGTACAGAAAGAATTGAACCACACAGTAGCTCACATAGCGTGCCATTGTCAACACAGCCTGCACTGTAGTGGTAGAATACACAGTCAAAATGATATCATTACAAGAAAAAGGGAAAACATATCCCCATTAATCCTGCTCATGCATGACTACATTTCCCAGTCATTAACACCTTGTTGTCACACACAGCAAGTCCCCCAGCACACCTCTGGTAGGAGCAAAAGCCGTGCTAGAGGCACAAGGGGGTTTTAAGTTGTTTTCAAGCCCATGTGCCATCACAGTTACAAAGCTGAATGTTGTTGCTGTTGCCTGTTATTGCCATTACTTATTAGGCTGAAGGGGTGTGGGGGGGTTGTCATAGTTATCCCAAATACTGAGTTCCTAAGGAACTGTGCAGAGGTTCTGGCAGGCTGTATTCAGTTCCAGGCAGGACTTAGAGACAGTCTTTTAATACTGCAGTAGTTGAAGAAACAATGTCTTGGTACCCTGAGTATAAAATATTTGGTTCACCTTTACCTTAATATAAAAGTGTTTTTAAGCATCAATCATAAACCATCGTTTTTTGTTAAAAATTTAATTCAGTGTAACTGCAATCCCTAGTCATTTGAAAATGAACTCAAGTGATCTAATGACAACAGCAGAACCCCTGCCCACTGTTTCCAATCTGAAGTACTGGCCATACAAACACACCCCGGTTCATCCCTTTCAGCACACGGAAAGAAAACTCCCCGTACCTCGAATAAAAACCAACAGCGTGCGTTCTCTGGGTGAGCAAACTTCTATGGCACGGCTGACAGGGGAGAATACAAGCCTTTCAGCTCCCTGTCCTTCATCAGTGATCCAAGGGACTCCAAAGGGCACGGACAGAGAAGCTGCCACGTCCGAGGGGGTTTTATACAAAATAACGTGTCCTACTATTTTCACAGTTTCAAAGCGACCACCACTGCCAACTGCAGATTGCAGGGGTGAAAGGCAAACTAACAAAGTAATTTGCTTCCACAACTACATCCTAGTGACTTCCTAGGCTGGTTTTGGCTTGATTTTCTCTAAGATTGATGCTGTTAACCTAAAGATTGCTCCAACATTTAGCATAACTGGCTAGGGTAGACTTCGGGGAACCTCAAACACTTCCACTGCTTCTTTCCTGCTACAGCATTACAAGACAAATTTATTTATTAAATAAATAAATTACAACACAAATCTCAAAGTTAAACTGTATTCCAGCAGCAGTTTCTAAGTGAATCTAGCAAGAACATAATTTTTATCTGTGACTGGTCTGATTCTCTTTCTAATCACAGACCAGTTTTCATTTATTACCCTTCTAGCATCTCAATCACCCTTCATTGAGTATTAGTTTTAACCTGTTTTTGCATTTTCAGCACTTTTTTGTCTCCTTCCACTCAAAATTCAAGTTTCCCTTCCACAGTTCTGTTCTGAAACAAAGCATTAAGGTTGAAAGGGGGAAAAGACAGCCCAAATCATATTCTCCTAGAACCAAAGCACTTCCATTTTTAACAGACTCAAGCTTTTCTAAGATTGAGAAGAGCATAGAAAAGGATAGAGGTAAGATGGCTTCCTTGGGCTGTGTGTGACTAATTACATGCAGGTAACCCAATATCTTTGTTCTACACACAAGGGAGAGAAAATTCAAAATAGCTGAAGTTTCAAAACAGATTTCCTTTCTGTTCTTCATCCTGTAACATATTGCTACAGAGGTCTCCTGACACTTTCTTAGTTATACACATTATTTGCAAAAGGAGGTCAGGTCTTTGAGTAGGTCCTCTCCTACTGTATTAAAGACCCTAAAATGCCCCAGAATGCCATTCTTCTCAAAATTCAGATAAAGAAACTCACCTACAGATTTTCAAGGCTCTTTTCTACTCTGTCCACTACTTCAAATATGAAACTCTTCCTGCACTGGAAATCCATTTGCTGTGTAGACTACATTGAAACATCTACTAGATAGCACTGTACAAGAGAAGACGTAACATTTACTATGATATATTGTGTGGCAGAAATGGAAGTGACTGAACAAGTGACTAAATCTGGAAGAAGGCAGATCCCCCTGGACAGGTTCTGAGCCAGAATAAACTACAAGTGCAGAAGAGCTCTGTGTGTGCCTTTCATAATAATGTCCTTAGTCAAAGTTCTTCAGCCTTTTTCCCTTCCCCCCTATTTTCTGCAATCCTAAAATACCTGAATTATCAACGGTTCCAGTAATTTCTCCACTGTAAACGTCTGGATCTGCAGATCCCGAGGATCAATTTTCAGCTTAATGTTTGGCACTTTGGTTGACATTTCACCTAGGTACAAAACAACAAAAAAAAAGTGCAGTAAGTAAATATTAGCCATGACTGCAAGTCTCATTGCCCTCTGTCAGAGCAGAGAGACTGCCTATGGGAATACGGACTTGTTTCATAACAGCCTTAGGATTTCAAGAAAAAAAAGTAATTTTTACGATTCTTCATTGTGAAAAAAAATATGCTAATGCTTACATGGACTGTGAAATCATAGATTTAAAGTACATATAATTTCTTGTCTTCTCACACAGATTTCTACATTGACCACATATTAAAAAATACACAAGGATAATTGAATTAGAATACCATTAAATGTAAGTTCTCTAGTAGTCTAAAAAGGAGCTTTAAAGCAAAAATATTATATTACATTACTGAATTTATCACAAAAACATTAATGCTATGTGCACAATACTTGTTATCTCACTCCATGTGCCAAATTACAGTGGTCATAATAAACACCTTAAGAACAAAAACATACAGCAGACCTTAGAGCTACTGGAAATTAATAGCAGGAGAAAGTGAAGTATTTTGTCATTTTACAACATGCAGTAACAAACCTTTTCTAAGTGTCAAGACAGATTAAGTCAAGACAGCCTATTACTGAAGTCAATAAGATGGAAGTAAAGCTAAGTAAGGTCTTTAAAGTGAATAAATCATTCATTAGGAACTTGATCCAAAGCCTATTGATGTTAATTTAAGGGTTTTCACCAAGTTCACTGGGCCATGGTTCAGGCCATTAGCCTGAAATGTGTGTGTACCACCAGAGAATTATAACTGTGCTTTAGATGGAATGCAACTGATTATTGTCCCAAAATAAAAGACATTTTAAATTTTGCAGTAATTTAACGTCCCATAAAACATAGCTCAGCAAAGCCTTTTTAGCCAATAAAGACTTCAAACACACAAATAATAGGTATCTGTCATTTTTAAGCAAGACTTATTACAACCATGGCTGCTGTATAATAAACTAATAAAGTACTGCAACTGTGCAGGCTAAAGAGATATATTGTTACCTTCCAGTGAACCTAGCATTGATTTAATACAACACAATAGGTTTAGGGTTTCTATAGCAAGTTGTGTAGAAATGGATCTGAAGAGTTATTCACATTTCACTTACAAGCAAAGATAATATCAACAATACCTAAAGAATTACAGTTAAGAGCAATTTACGGGTTTGTCATTCTTAATAAAGGTTACACAAGTGCCAAGTTTATTCTTTTATTACAAGCTGCACTAGTGGCAAACCTAAGTTCCCACAGATTCAGCTGCATTCAGCCAGGTGATACCATATGTAGAGAAGGGATTTTTCCATTTTAATTCCAAGTCAAAAGATAAAGAGAAGAGAAGCTTGAGATCAGACTGACCAGAATGACACTTTTCCTTCCATGGAAATGAATAATGGAAAGAGAACTCTAGAAAATGTCAAAGCAAATTATATGGCTGGATTTTACACATTTAGCATATAGATACTTGTAACAAACCCCAATGAGAAAAAATCTGAGACTCCCAAAATCACCAGTGTCAGTGGTTCTCTTTCTGTCCAATAAATCAGTAGGCAGGATATTCCAATAGTTTTGAAATACTCTTTATCCCTCTGGTTGAAGGGAACTGAGCCCCCTCATAATTCACTGCTACAGAAACAAGTGGTGGGAAAGGTCTGCAGCCCTTCTGCCAGATCCAATTGCTGTGCCTTCTCCCCCACAGGATGAAGTGGGAGCTGTGCAAGTGCACAGAGCACACCTCTTACTCACAAAGCCTCACTGCAGCTGCTACAAAGCCCCTTGCAATGGATGGATGACTCGCTATCTTCTGTTCTACTCATTGGAAAATACTGATTTACTCATTGAGCTCAGAACAAAACACTCTGCAAACACGGAATAGCTGTAGAGACTGGTGGTTAGGCATGCTCTCAGCAGGCAAAATACTTTGTTTCCAAAGCAAGTAACGTTTTCAGAATCTCAGACCACTAGAGACAGGAGACATCAAAAATCAACGAGCATCAACAAGCACGTTCAACATGTCCTGCAGAACCAGATCAACAGCCCATCCAGCCCAGCATGTTAGCTATGGGTCAGGCTGTCACTTCTTGACAATACACTGTATATGCAACAAAGCAAGAAATAAGGCAGGCTCTTTCCATCTACCGCTTAGTGGAACAAGTGCTACAAGACAAATTTAGAATCACTCAGAGCGCTCCATACAGCCACGGCTTGGGTCATCATGGAAGTGCAACACCTCCTGGCTTCTTCACATTGTGCACATAACACCCTTGGTGTGCTGACCTCTGCAACAAGGGCTTATTCTTACAGCTCAGGCCAAAGATATGCCACACTGTACTCACGCAAGCAAGACTTTTTAAATAAGCTCTTTATTTTATCTTCAGTGATTCTTACTGTTAGACCCATTGGTTCTTTATGTTTGGAAAATAAAAACAAAAGCAAAACCAACTTCTCAATCATATAATTCTTTGGAAATACTCTCAATATATAATGATGCAAGTGAAGTCTGTCTACCTCAATAGCGAGAGGACTAGTATAAAATGCCGTCTCAAAGGACTAACACCTATTAATTGCATCATTTCACTGAACAATGAATATTCAGAAAGGTTCCATGCCTGCCAAGTAGATTAAAATTCTAGACAGAGATAGTTATTTCTAGCAGCATTTGCTATGACAGCAAGGGAGCCATGAGTAACCTGGAAGCCAGGTTCCCACCAACATTCAGACCTCCACACAATCATTGGAATTAAAGACAGCAAATATGAGCGAGAGATTCTTTTGAACCCGTTCAAGTAAGCTCTCCCCTACAGTACTAATCTTGCTCTGAAAGCCAAAAATGTCTGTCACTCACACCCTTGCTCTCCTCAGCTTCAGTTCCAAACTGCATTGGTATTTATTTGCCTCTCCCCTAACAAAGCCATAGTGAGTGCACCTTGGATTGTCCTGCAGTGTTGGCAAACACCGGGTCACATCTGTGCCCACTTGCCAGCACATTGGTGCGGTCTCTGAACATACAGCAGAGAAGCATCTGTGCTGGTTTTGCTATGTCCACCCCTGTGGGATGATGGGCAGGGTTAAAATTTAGAAGAGACTAAGAATTCTTAGGGTAAAATGCAGCTGCAAGTCCGTGGATGGAATGCAGTCGACATGCTCCCCATACAACAATAATCGTGTGCTCAGAGGGATGGAACAGAGAGCGGAACAAAGTGGAGTCTACGTGGCCTCCCTCCATTGAAATCCTGGCAGAAAGCGGAAACACTGTGCTACTTGGAAGATCATGAGACCATACAGTACCTGTCAGCCAAGGGAGAAACAAGGGGTTCTGCTGCTGAGCCAACAACCATGTCAAACCCCCCCTTCAGTTGACCACCCCCCCCGTCCCATTAGGCAAGAGAACTTTACACCAATCAGAAATAAAAGGTATTTATGACTAGAGCTACTCAAGCTCCACCTAAACATAAAGAAATAGTATAAAAGTAAGTTGGGGATAGGGGGAAGATTGCAGAAGACTCCACTGAAACTGCTGGGGTCAGCTGACAGGCTGAGCCCATCTTCTCCCCCCACAGGGATGCCCTGGGTAAGAATTATACTCTACACAAGTTAAATGCTGTTATTAGTACTAGAGCTTGTGCTTCCTTAATATATATCTCAGTAGATTGCTCTAAAAGTCTCCACACTGTTGGCTGAGCCCCTCTGACAGGGGCAGTCAAATCCCCCTCTGATCTTGTGACTGTTGGGGAAGGGTCTCATTACGAGACGGTGACTGGTGGGACACGAAGGTCTCGACTTTCCCGGGGGCACCAACAGGCAAAATCTAAACTCCCCCCTTTCACGTGACAACCCCTGATTCCAAAAGCATTTTAATTCAACAAGACACTCTCCTCCAGCTTCATGGGATTGCTTCAAAGGCAGACTCTTTTGTACAATCTGCAATTCACTGGTTTTCTAAATCTTTGGCCTACATTTCAAACTGCCTTTTATTCACGTTAGAAAAAAATAAATCTTTATGATATTGCTGGTTACCAAGCCTTATCTTTGACATTTTTAGGAGCCTCCCAGTATATGGACACTTCTTGAAATCCATCACAACAGTTGCAAACAGATAGTATTGATTGTGCTGTGAATTTTCATATATCACTTGCAAGGGGACACGTAAGAAATAGTTGGAGACAGTACTTCGTGCTTCTACTGAGATCTGAAGACATTACTCTAGATGATTTTCAGATTAGTTTTTCTGCAGATGCACTCATGCTTTAACTTTGCAGTGGCTTCCTCTCAATTCCTTGATAGAAGGGTGTTAGCAACTGCTTCACTCAAAATCCAGAAATAAAACCTTTGCTGCTTGCAGCAGAGCTGCTCTCCGTTCTCTCAGCACAACTTCCCATGCTACAGGTCATCTACAACAATCAGATCTTTTATAAAATTTGGCAGATAAAAATACAGTTGCAATTACAGTCAATTCCTCTTACTAGAGATCACTGTGCTCCAGAATTCCACCCCCGAGCAGTCTCAAACTTGGAAATTGTTACAAATCCAACCTCATTTTTGCAGGTCAGAAAAATGTGAATCCACATGCCACAACTCTTCCTCTTCTGGGTTGTGCTGGGGTTTTGTTTGTTTGCTTGGTTTTGAACCTCAGCATATTGTCTAACATCAGCATCTTTATTCTTTGCTTGAACCCTGAGTTCAAAAGCCAGCTGAGCCAATAATATCTTTTAGCCTTGAGTCAGGCCCATAACTCATCATTAACTGAAAGTCAATTGCAAAAACTATTGTCTCTGAAAATTTCAATTATATTCTAAGGTATAAATAACTCATTTAAGGACTCACTTGCTGATTCCAGTAATTTTTTTATAAGTAAAATTCTAATGTTTTCTGAAACTTCCTTAGAGTAGCCCAAAAGATGGAAACAACCTTGCAAGCCAGTGCAGGGAAAACTACAAAATCTTAAATTATTTTGATACCTTGACTACATACTTTTAACCTATGAGGCTCTCCTTACTT